AAAAAAAAAAAAAAAAAAAAAAAAAAAAAAAAGAAACGACAGAGAGTAGGCACTAATAAAATAGAATCGTTGATGATAATCAGCAAAATTTTTTAGCCACAAAAAAGTGTGCTTAAGCTAAAAATTAACGGTTTATCAAAACACATTCAGTAGTAGTGCTTTGACAACAGCAAAGATATGCAGGGAGAACTTTCCTCGGCTTCGTTGTCGTTGTCCTTGTCGTTCTAATTTTTTTTAGTTGAAATATTAGTTAGTATTCAAAATTGTCGAAGACAGTTGCAAAGCCACCTAATGAAGTCCTTTATAGAGTTAGGATCGCTATATCTTCTTTGTCCAGATAGCAAGGGATTTTTTACTGATTTTTTGCTTCACACAATTTGTTGAGGATAAAAATTTTTCACTGAATTCCTCGCTAATGAACCTCGTTTAAAGCTGAAGACGAAACAACAACCAACAAAAAACTGATTTACTCATCTTTTTATTCCTTCTGTCTGAATCTATACAATATTTTTGTTTCATCTACAGATGTCCATTTTCTTCTTTTCCGTTGTTCCTTATCGTGCAGGACAATTATATTTCTTAAATGCCTTTTGTTGTCGAGCAGTAGATAATGTCTATTACAGCATGATGTCTGTTTTTTGTCGGCACTCTCCATCATTTACGTCATAGTTCTATAGATAAAAGCTTTTTTTATCACTCAAATCTCGTCATCTTGCTACCTCTTCGCAAATTCACTGCTTCTCTTGAATCCTCTTCTAGGAGCAGCAGTTTTAGCATTTGTCGGGCAACTAAACTGTGTATATCTTTTTACTATCTGTCGGTCTGTATGCAGTTTTCAGTGTCAGTCTTTACTGTCAGTGGCTGTCACCGTAAAGCTACCGTAATCAAGCTCAGTGTAGAGAAGAGTATTTGTCACGCCTTTTTAGCCAGTTGCCAACGTCGGAAGATCCCTCGAAAAAATTATTGAATGAAAGGAATAAATAGACAAACAAATGATTATAACAGAAGGCTAACGTATCCCAGTGTCATCTGCCGCCAAAGGTGTTCGGGTGATTAACCGGATCAGCGGTGTACAATGGACTGGAATCTCATAACAGTATCAGTACACAAAACTATATGGAGCACTGGGGACTTGATACATATAACATCCGTTTATTTTTTAAAATTTTTGTTGAGTCTTCTAAATTCTGTTATTTCTTTGAAACAGCTTCATAGGTGAATAATCAGTAATACCGTTAAAAAATGGCATTCAGCCTGCAGACAGTTTTCAGTGGGCAAATTTGCTTCATTATATTCCAGCAGACCAGCCAGACCTATTCAGCCATTTTTCCTCCTTTATCGGTGTATTTACTCATGTTTTGTCTTATGTTTTGTTTACTGAAGTAAACTTCCTTCGCAGCAGTGTAAAAATCAATAGGCCAAATATCTATCAATGTCTTATTTGAAAGATTTGATAGAAAATCAATGAATTTATACATAACAATAAGTATTCCTCCAGTGGATTTGGTAAATTGAAATTTGGGAGAAAAAAAGAGTTGTAAAAAAACTTAGATACTTGCAAACATTTTAAAAAAAAAAGAATTGTTTAGCATTAAATGGTCAATAATTAATGGCAACAGAAAAGAAGTAATAAGCTAAAAAAGTGAACAACGTTTATTATAATTGAATAATTCCTTGTTTCTGTACACATTTATCACAGTTTGACTGCGCTAAGCGATTGACGCTAAAAGAACAATTGTTTGAGGCTTTTCGTACAGATCCAAAAATAGAAAGGCAATCATTACAAATCAGATTAAAGGCAACAAATCAAATGTTTTCTTTTTTATTAGAATCTGTTGTCATTGTTGTTGCTGCCTCTGCTGTTGCTGCTTCTGCTCCTGCAACTACTGCTGTCGCTGTTAGTTGATAGTGCTGCTGTTGACTGTTGTCCCTCTGATTTTTTAATGAATGGGTTCACAATCTATGTTCAAGTAGGAGCATTTGTCGTCAAGAAATTATAATTGACAACAAAGAAAGAGAGAAAAAAGAAACAAAAACAGGAAGATGAAAATAGAATAAAAGTAAATAAAGAAAAAAAATTTGGATTCTTAACTTCTAGAATTATTGCAGTGACTTCAATGATATCACTTATTAGTCAATTAAACGCATACTCAAAATAGATATGAAAAATTATAGATATTTATCCAAAAAAAGATGCTGTAAAGTAGTGAAAAAAATCTTTTGTCCTAACAACAATTCATTGATCTATCTAACTAATAACTCAGTCAACTTAGATAACTCTGTTAGCAGAAATCGGTCATCAAACCAATTATTGTTTCATCTTTTCCATTTATGTTTGGGTAGCCATTCAAGTTTGTTCAGCAGCAGTCAGCTGAAATCATCACATGGAATACTGCTGTTAGTATTAAAAATTGGATGGAAGAAACGGAAAGATATTGCAGTAAAGAAGGAATAATGGAACAGTAAATTGGCTGTTTTTTTCCTGTTTTGCTATAAAACAGAAGACAGTCTTTTTTTTTTAATTCCAATTTTTGCTTCTCTTTTATAATCGTAAAAGGAAAAAAAAAAGCAGGAAAAAGAGTAGCAAACATACAAGGCAACGGGTAAACAAATCGTCAAGAAGGGAAGACGACAACAACAACGATGACGACGATGACGATAACAGCAGTAGCAGTAGCAGTAACAGCAGCAGCAATGGCAACAGCAATGGCAGTAACAGCTTAAAAAAAAAAAAAAAAAAAAGAAAAAATTATTAGATTGAATTTTTGTTGACTTTAGTCTTGTTCAGTGACATTTATCAAATGCAAAAA